AAAATAATAATGAACTAATTATTTAAATCTTGCCCAAATAAACTGAAATATTCACTTAACTGCTTAAATCGCACGAATAATGTAATAACGGTGATATATGTATATATTTATTTATCAAAAGCGTAGTACCTGTTGTACAAACACTTCTTTTCTAATGAAAACGATTAAAGCCTTTTTAGTTTTTATATAACTTATCGTGACTGTCAAGGGTCTTGGGTTCGATTCCCGCTGTCGCCCTGGCCCTTTTTCACGCTACCCTTCCCAGCGCTTCCAAACTATATATATGATGAAACATCAACGGAATCTTTCTCGGGCTAATATGCAAGTTCGCACGCCATTAAGAAGGAAAAAACTTCAGTGATCTCTGTAAAAATAATGCATAATAAAAAAATTTCAATTAATGATCTAATTTTAATTGACATGTTTAAACCGAAATTCCTCCCATCAAAAGCAATATGTTGATGTAAAATTTAAAGTTGTAATTGTACAGAATTAATTCTTCGTCAAAAAAGAAACCAGAGAGAGAGACAGACAGGCAGACAGACAGACAGACAAGAAGAGGAGAGAAAGGATGTCTGAAAGTGAAAGAGATAAGAATATTAAATGTGTACTACAAATAATTATTCAATGAAGAGATGAAGGAGAAGGATGAAGAAAATTGAAGATACAGATGGATCAATAGCTAGCTAGATAGATTGATAAATAGATAGATGAAAAGATAAATGAAAAAGTGAAAGGGGTAGAGAGAGAAAAAAATGAAATACAGAGGAAAGAGAGTGAAAGAGAGAGAGAGAGAGAGAGAGAGAGAGAGAGAGAGAGAATGAATAAGTGCAAGTACGCACCTATTATACATATCGAGAAATAAAAATTACAAATGAACAATTTGATATATTCAAAGAAAAAGTTCTTTGTAGCTGTAAATTAGGCTCAGGTCAAACCTGTTTTGAGAGGAACCAAAATTCAGATGCATGAATAAGTTTAAAATTTCAAAGCTCATCTTGAAAATCAGAATGTAAAGAAATTACGTACAATTCGTTCTCAAAAGATCAAAAGTTTCACTGAGATGGCAGGATTGTATGGCGAGAATAATAAATTTATTCCTCAAGATTTAAATTAATTTTTTTCGGGGTTCGCAATAGAGGTCATCTAAACCCTCATGCCGGTGTTTTTTATAAAAAAGCTCATTCGTAAGTATTTCGGGTACAAATGCAGGACCGCTGGATTCGAACCCGCGACCATTACCTTACAGTGATGAGCGCCGTGTCAATGCCTAAAACGTTGCGGTCACCGACGCCCCTTTATTTGAATAAAGTGGGGATTATTGTGTGAATGGAGAGAAAACTGGGACTCGTCTGAAATCCAAATATTCTTTCATTACAATTTCTGTCCAATGTCGGTGTCACTTAAAATCTCTTTAGTATCCTGACGATGGCCTCTGGTAATCGCTGGACTCGTAGCAGTTCTTCTGGGATGTAGAGAGTTTTAGATTTGTCTAAAACGACGGTTGATGGGCATTCAGTGATACTTGGAAAGGTGTACTCGGATACCAAGATCGGGACAAAAGCCAAAGGACCAGCTGACGACCGATTTATCAGATTTCACACTCTGAGACAACGCTTTTAAACGTCTCAAAGCTTCCAAATAAGTGGAATGTGTCTGTTAGCGCTGAAACAATAAGAACGAGTCTTGCAGAAATGAATCTACAACCCAGAAGAACGGCTACGAGTCCAGCGATTACCAGAGGCCATCGTCAGGACTTCTTAAAAGTTTTTAAGGGACACCGACATTGGACAGAAACTGTAATGAAAGAATGTTTGGATTTCAGACGAGTCCCAGTTTTCTCTCCATTCACCAGATGGACATCGTCGAGATTATCGAGCAGCTGTAGAGCTCGACAGTCAATACAACATTGCCGAAAGAGGGTCGTTCAGAGGTGGTTCGGATGTGTTGTGGATCCGAATTTCTTTAAAGGCAAAAACTGAGTTACAATTTTTAATAGGCCATCACTTAATGCAGAAATCCATATGACGGAAATTCTTGAGGAATATGTGGTGCCATTAACTCCTGTCATTGGCGAGCCATTTTTTTTTTTTTTTATGAAGGATAATGCAAATCTTTGAGATATTGTACAAACTGTTCCTTTGAGATATTTACACCCTAAGATGTCCAGCCCATATTCCTGATTTAAACCCCTTGAGTATTTTTGGTACGAGCTCAGACGTTAGTTTAAACGAAGAAATAACCCTCCTACAGCACTAGCTGACCTGAAAGTTTCGTTAATTGAGATTTGGAATGAAATTCCTAAAGAAGTGGTTAAAGGCTTAATTATGGGCATGTTGAGACGATTAATGTGTGTAATAAGTGCAAGGGGAGGTAATATGCCCTATTAAAGATTTTTACATTTGTTTTTATAATGTTTTACGTTCATACACAAAAGAGATTTTCTCTTTATTTTTAAATTAATTCTGGTTTTTGAGAAATATTTTTATTTTTACACTGGCCAAATCTTTTAATAAATACTTGAATTATAAAAACATACCAAAAATGTCAAGTACCTACAAAATATCAAAGTAGGTTTTTTTTTTTTTTGTGGTTCAGTGTATATATAGTTTAGTTTAAATTATACATACAGCAGAATCATTATAAATATATCTATTTAAGTCAAGATTTCTACGAACGATGAACATTTTCATTAAAAATTACCAGTTTTTTCTTTCACCCCCAAAAATAGTTTTCTAACTCTTTTAATTTATTCTTGCTCTTATGAACAAGTTAAACTTACTGGGAACAGACTGTTCATTTTACATTGTTTTGTTCTACATTATCGTTTAATAGTTTTTTCTCAGAATAATGTATTCAATGTACAGCAAATAATTCATTGTTTCTTGTCTTGTCTTAATTGTGAGGCTTAATTTTCAATTTTGATGAAAATGTTCTGTAAATGATGGTGTTTGTCCACAGGTGTTTATATATTTTGTTTCTTCTTTTTCGTTTTTTTTTTAATTTAATTTTATTTTATTTGGGATTCGTCCTTTATTACATGCTTTACATGTAATGTTTTACATGATTTTATTTCACGTCAAGAAGGATTTGTCTTCCATCTCTGAATTCTCTTCAGCCAATTTGGCAGTTGTTTCTATCCTTTTAGTATATACCTGTGATTTTCTATGAGAAAGGATAAAAACCTGCCAGACTAGGTGAGGAGGAATTTGAAAACCCTGCCTAACGTGAATTAAATTATGTAAATAGACCTTTGCAGTTCAATTAAGCACTAATTCCAAATAAGGTCAGAACTTTTTTTTCAAAATTATCTATGGCTTTGAATAGTCCAGGCCTATGAAGTTCAATTAACCTCTAATTCCAATAAAAGTCAGATCTTTTTTTTTTGCAATCCAGTATGGTTTTGTATAAGACCAGGCCTGTGAAGTTCAATTAAGCACTAATTCCAAATAAGGTCAGAACTTTTTTTTTTCGAAATCTTGTATGGCTTTGAATAAGTCCAGGTCTATGAAGTTCAATTAAGCACTAATTCCAAAAAAGATCAGAACTTTTTTTCGAAATCTTGTATGGCTTTGAATAAGTCCAGGGCTATCAAGTTCAATTAAGCACTAATTCCAAATAAGATCAGAACTTTTTTTCGAAATCTTTTATGGCTTTGAATAAGTCCAGGGCTATGAAGTTCTATTAAGCACTAATTCCAATAAAAGTTAAAACTTTTTTTCGAAATCTTGTATGGCTTTGAATAAGTCAGGACTGTGAAGTTCAATTAAGCACTAATTCCAAAAAAGGTCAGAACTTTTTTTCGAAATTCTGTGTGGCCGTGGATAAGACCAGGCCTATCAAGATCAATTAAGCACGAATTCCAAATAAAGTCAGAACTTTTTTTTTTCAAAATTATCTATGTCTTTGAATAAGTCCAGGGCTATGAAGTTCAATTACTCACTAAATACAAAAAAGGTCAGAACGTTTTTTCCAAATTCTGTATGGCTTTGAATAAGTGCAGGCCTATCAAGTTCATTTAAGCACCAATTCCAAATAAGCTCGGAACCTTTTTTGCGAAATGCTATGTGGCTTTGAATAAGTCCAGGTTAACTATTTTAATGACATTTTCAAACGTTATATGGTAAAAAGTTATATAAATATGGTTATATAAATATTTAAGGACGATAGTAAAAAAATTAATCATCCAGTTCAATGAAATTTAAATTTAGTATTTTATTTTTTTGGCTACGCTAGGTATACAAAAGTTATCGGATCGATTAATAAACAAATAATCTGTGTTTTTGTAGCAGTAAGAATCATTTTGGTTTTTACTAAAGCTTACAGTGTTGGATCTCAATTGTTTTAAAACAAATGTTTTCAGTTTTCTTGAAACTGAAGAATATTGAATACGAAATTTTTTTGTATTCCAAAATGTTGTTGTATTTTCAAAATTTAACAGTAGGGCAGCTGTTGACAGGAAGCAGAACCTAAAGCCCCTTTTTGAATCAGCAAATCAGAATTCAATCCATTGAATTGATCCACTCTTTCGTGAATTGAAAAACAAAATATGTGCAAATTTGGTTTTATATTCTGTGATGGATATTTGTCTTGGCTGTCTTGCATGATTTTGTTGTTTTTAGGTTTACAATAGTTCCATTTCTAATGATGTTATGTAGTTTTGAGATGCAGTTGTAATTGAAGAAAGGGTACATCAACATATGGCTTTTTGTACATTTGATTGAAATTCAGAAATGTGCACTATTTTGTTTATTCCTGTTTATTGTACCTACGAAGGAGTAGAACAAAGTTGTATGTACTTTTAAGTAAGTTGACATCTGCGTGCCAAATCATACCCGGAATAGACAAAAAGTATCGTTTCACTCTCTTAGCCGGATCTCACGCACTTTTGAAACATTTTATAAAAACCGTTTATGACGCAACTTATATTAAAGACGCCGTTTCGTCAGAAAGGAACCCGGCTTGCCCTGAAAGACAAAATAAATTTACACAGCACTCACGGGTTGCGTTGACGGAGAGCACTCCATGGACGGTTCGTAGGAAACTGGCCGCCAGTAGGAAAATAGCCACGGATAGGGCCTTCATGTCTGTGTCCTCTTGAGATCTGGTCAGTAGTCCATGGCCCAAGACGCCAGCAGACTGACTCGGCTTGTAAACTTATGTAAGAACCAGGGGGTTACCTACAGCTCCTCCGGGAACAGTGAAAGTTCTCCCCACCATGGCTATAATAAACTATATTCTAGTACGATTTACCTCGCTTTTTATAAATTTTTTTCGTTTTTCAATTCCAGAAGGAATTCGAGGGATTGAATGCTGAGTTGCTGATTCACAAGGGAACTCTTTGTCCTTGTTGTCACCTGCTGGCCAATTGGAAAATACACTAATAACCCTTTATGATAATAATTATTATATCATTTCGTATACTTTATCATATCACACAACAACTTATCAATAACATAAATCCTAGTAAACATTTGAAGGGTTATTTTTGCTTACCTAAGTACAGTTCATTATTTAATAATTCACCGAAAAATTTTGCATGCCTAGAGGGAAAAGAATTGACCTAAACGTAAAAAAAAATTTAAAACTTAAATGTGAAAGAAAAATTTTGTATTTTAACAAATCATCAATTTTTAAAATGGATAAATTATAGTAAAAGTTAGTTTATTGGAGAGAGCGAGAGAGAGAGAGAGAGAGAGAGAGAGAGAAATACATAGGTAAAGAGAGGGAGAGAGAGAGAGAAAGAAAGAAAGAAAAATAAATTTCAAGAAATAACACATAAATATTTATTAATATTTTCAATTATTAAAACAAATTAATAATGATTATTAATTGATTTTTTTTTAATAAGAAACAATGTCAAATATAATGGTTCTTGTTTTGTTATTGTTGTTAAAACTTAAATTTTTAGCATTAAAATTATGTATGTAATTTAATTGTTTTCAACCAAGCATGAGTTAAATGCAAGTATTTATCCTTTCTCCTGAGTTATCTTGATAATATAGTTTAACAAATGGTTAAAAATCAACTTATTGGGAATGCTATATAATTAATTCAGCGTTAATTACTTTATTCAGCTTCAAAATGTTTACTTACATAAGAAATGAATGTATCGGAGAGAAAGAAAAGAAAATAGATAAGTAGGGCCACATACAGAAAGAAGATTGAGTTGTTGAAGGAGGGCTACATAGATTAGAAAATATAGTTAGTTAGCTTACCAGAGAGAGGAACAATGAGAGAGAGAAGAAAGTAAGATAAGTAGGGCCTCATACTGAAAGAAGGTGAACACGTTTAAGTAGGTCTACATAGAGACAGGATGGGTGAGAGAGTTTAAAAAAAGAGGGTGGAAATAAACTGGGGAAGGAAATGGAAAAATGTGTCACATAAAAAATAAATAATGAGAGGAGATAAGAGTGGCGCGGTTTGAGAAGACTAAACGAAAAATTTAAATGAGGAAGAAAGAAAGAGAGAGAGAAGAAAGAAAATAAATTTCAAGAAATAACACATAAAGATTTATGAATATTTTCAGTGAATAATGATTATTAATTTAATTTTTTAAATAAGAAACAATGTGAAATATAATGGTTCTTGTTTTGTTATTATCTCATGCAAAAATAGTTAATGGAAAATTTTGTATTTTAACAAATCATCAATTTTTAAAATGGATAAATTATAGTGAAAGTTAGTTTATTGGAGAGAGAGAGAGAGAGAGAGAGAGAGAGAGAGAGAGAGAGAGAAAGAGAAAGAGAGAGAGAGAGAGAGAGAGAGAGAAAGAGAGAGAAAGAACGAAAAATAAATTTCACGAAATAATACATAAAGATTTATTAATATTTTCAGTTATTAAAACAAATTAATAATGATTATTAATTTAATTTTTTTAAATTAGAAACAATGTCAAATATAATGATTCTTGTTTTGTTATTATGTCATGGAAAATAGCTAATAGAAAATTTTGTATTTTAACAAATCATCTATTTTTAAAATGGATAAATTATAGTAAAAGTTAGTTTATTGGAGAGAGAGAGAGAGAGAGAGAGAGAGAGAGAGAGAGAGAGAGAGAGAGAAATAAATTTCAAGAAATAACACATAAAGATTTATTAATATTTTCAGTAATTAAAACAAATTAATAATGATTATTAATTTAATTTTTTAAATTAGAAACAATGTCAAACATAATGGATCTTGTTTTGTTATTAAGTCATGGAAAATAGCTAATAGAAAATTTTGTATTTTAACAAATCATCAATTTTTAAAATGGATAAATTATAGTGAAAGTTAGTTTATTGGAAAGAGAGAGAGAGACAGACAGACAGACAAAGTTAGAAAGGTAGATACGTAGATCATTAATAGATGACTAGGATAGGTAGAAAGAGAGAAAAGTGAAAGGGAGGAAGAGAAATAGGTTGAGAGCGAGAGTAAGAGAGAGATGGGGAGAGAATGAGAGAGAGCGAGAGTGAGAGAGAGAGAGAGAGAGACAGAGAGAGAAGAGAGTAGGTAATAGAAAATAGATAATAGAAGAATAGTGGAAATAGACTAGGGATGAAAATGGAAAAGATGAGTCACATAAAAAATAAATAATTAGATGAGATAGGAGGGACGCGGTTTGAGAAGACTAAACGAAAAATTGAAATGAGGAAGAAAAAGAGAGAGAAGAAAGAAAAATAAATTTAAAGAAATAAAAACATAAAGATGTATGAATATTTGCAATTATTAAAACGAACTTCTCGAAATTAATAGCATGCATTTAAATAATTAAGGAAAGAGGAACGGGTGAAAAACACAGAAAGAGAGAGGGGGAGTAAGAGAGAGAGAAGAAAAAGAAATAAAGAGGGGCCAAGAGGAAGAGAGAGAGAAATTAAAAAAAAAATAACATGAACAAATGTATTTTCGGTCAAAATGCGAAGTAGACCACATGCTGAGGTTTTCTGTAATTACCTTAATTGCAATTGCTGATGCGCTGGCTCACCAGGAAACGTCGATTAGTTCCAATTGTTTCAAAATAAATGGATATGAGAAGTCATATTTTCTTCGCAAAATACCCAATTGTTCCAAATAAATATTTAAAACTATTTCAATTTTCCAAATAACTGAGACTCCTTGTGTTGTTTTGGATAATTTTTACTTCTGCCCAAAGACGAGAATGCATTTGTAGTCTCATACCCAGATGACACTGCCCTATTAACACTTTACTCCACCCCTCACAAATTGGACGATTAAATGGGCAAGGATCTGAAACATTTTGAGTTGGTCCGGAGCGACTGCCATTGGGTAGCTTCCTTTATATTGCAAATTCACAAAATAGAGCTCCAATCTGCTAGTTTTTAAATATGTTGCTTTGATTTGTACTAGTAAGTAAAGTCAAATAATTTAATTTTGTTTAATTAGAATGAAAAAGTGGAAGAATATAGCCTGTATTGTTTGTTTTTTCTCTGGAGTCATTATTGACGATAGTCCACGGTTCTTCCACTGTGACCTAAACGTCTATGTGGAATGGTCCTTTCCCTCTTTCCAATGTATAGAAAGTGCACTTCCTTTAATGTATTTGACCACTTTCAGGGATTCATCTTCTGCTGTGGCGTTTCCGGGCTATACATTCCGTTCATAAAGGACATGTTACAATGGCAAGGTTATATCTATTTTCCCGATTGTTAAGAGTGTAATGAGGTGTCTGCTATAGAGAACTATTATTTTCCATAATTCCTGCCTGATGAGAGGTCCTGATGTTTTTGTTTTTCTTATCGGGATGTTGAGAAACTTTTGGTATTCTGCACCTGGAATTCATAGTATGTGGTCGTTTCTTTATATATCCATCCATCTGTTCGGTTCTTCTTTTAGCATGCCTTGAGGTGTGAATTTTTGGTTTTGTTACAAAGGGTGTGAGGGCTCATCCTGCTCTCGTCAATTTGTTCCTTGTCTTCATTCCGCTCACGTCCTTGAACCTACATCAGAAAACAGGTTGCGTTTTTTCAGAACTTGGAAATAACTTTGGCGGTTCTTGTTTGTTTGATAGTATGTAAATCCTTCTATCAAAATATTGATGGTATGGGGCTTAGAAGTTCGCTAAATTAATTTTGAGCCTTGAACCTCTGCCCCTAATCCATGGTCCATTTTGGTCTGATCTGTGTACCATAATACCCTTCTATTATTATTATTATTATTATTATTGGGTGGCTTTCTCTTAGATCAAGCTTTATTTCCTGTTTGTTGTAAAAGTCTATTTGCATTTTTGTTTGCAAACTCTATATGTATGTACGCAATGGTGGCAATCCATTTTTCAATTTTTAAAATTTATTTTGTCTTTTTTTCAACATTTTTGGCCACCGTACAAGAGCACTAAAGGTCTAACCTTTGTTGTGTATATATTTTTGTATAAGCTATGTTTAGATTTTTATCCCAAATTTATTATGGCATTGTTCATCAATTTACCAACGCGTGTAACAACACAAAACTAGTGTTGGCATTGTGATGCCTCTACATTTTGAAAATTGTAAAAAAAATACATATGTATCGTTTTATATTGTTACAGCATAATTTATGTAAACTTTTGAATAGTTTTTTTTTAAATTAGCTGTTATATCATGAGAAAACGCCTGATGAAAAATTGAAAAAAAAGAGGTGGTTTCGATCCCCCTAACATAATAACTGCGGATTTGCTGATTCACAATGCCACTCTGCTATTTTGGAAAGACCCTTTCAACACAAATAAAACGTTGCATAATGTATTTTATGCCAGAAAATGTTTTACATACGACCGCTTGTAAAATCTATAAAACAAATCTTCTACCTTAGAAAATTGCCAATCGTAAAAGTCGAATCTTCAATAGTGAATATTTTTTTAATTGCTGGAGGAAACGTAATATTTTCTAATTGGCCAACTTTCTTTTTATCGTTCCAATTTAAATATTATCCCGTCTAATTTGCCTTTATTACCTTTTCAGTTTAGGATAATTTCTTATCCTTCTTCTACCCCTTTGAGGATGGTCGTACCCCTGGAAAACGGGTTTCAAGAGGTTAAGCGATCAAAAGTCGGGATGAAAAGGTTTAAAAGAAAGAAAATTATCCTGGAAAATTCATCGTTAAAATTACCCTAAAAAGAAACCACAAAGCCTCAAAGTCAAAGATCTTACTCAGATAATAAAATAACCATTTCCAACAAAAATA